TGTCTAGCGACACATTCAGTAATATTGTAATTGAGGAAAAAGAAGTAATTGATATTACAGGTAAACTTCGGTATCTCGACATCGGATATGTCGACAACCTGGGATATGTCGACGTCTATCCGCGGTCCCGGCATTATTTACTATATAAATGATTTGCAAAAACTCTGATATGTCGACCTCGGTAATGTCGACTACCCCGCTTATCTCGACGTATATTCACAGTCCCAAGAGCAAAATTTACCTGGTATATGTCGACATCGGGGCAATTTTCTGTTCTACTTAACCTAATTGTTTGTCAGCTGATCGATCGTCACGCACGGACAACTCCGTGTATCTCGACGTCGTCAGAAATTCACACCTTTCACACCCATGTTTTGACTACATACTGCTCTGTAGAAATGTGTTTGTAGAGGAACCCAATTTTAAGCTCCCTCCGCTTCCCCGGGACGTCAATTGCTTAATGTTCAGCATGGCTAATATCATCGATAAATCTTCTCTATTCTGCGTAAATGTAAAACCGTTTATTTATATCGAAATCTAACAAAACTTAAACATTTTATTTTAAAAAAAGTAACTGAATGACAATGAACAATTAATATACACAATGAATTCAATCTAACTTAAAAATTATGGTAAAAATGCATTCAAAAGGAATTAATCAAATCTACGACATGCATGCACGACTATTGCATCAGCCGTAATATGGATGCATATGTAACATCAAGTTTGTTAAATGCGCAATTCCAATTAAATTTTGGCTTAAAAATGAAATGAAAATTAATGATGAATGATTATGAAATAAAAAAGAAGTGAAATGAAATAATTTTAAAAAATATAGTACGTATTAATTTTTTCCGTATCTAGGAAGTCGACTTTGTACCGTTCCGGTTTGGAGTTTATAGAGCGCATTTCGTATCCTGTTCTGACAGTGCTAGTGGCACGCGGATCGAATGCTGAATGGAAAACGGTTTTTTGTATAATGAGAATATCTCGATAAAAAAAAGAATAACATTTGTGAATAACTTCTTAGATTTTCTAATAAATATAGAAGGATAGCTGAAACAAACGAGCTACAGTCTATTTGAAGACATGTAGGTACCTGTAGTTACACGTCTTTTCAGTTAAGGTCTATGGTTTTACTTTGCAGTAAAATTAAGGACGTCGAGTCTCAACTCTGATATCTCGACACCTCGGATATCTCGACATTTTCCGACTGTCCCGTCGATGTCGAGATAACGAAGTTTACCTGTAAATAGAAAGCTTTGATAAGTCCATATCATAGTATATGATTAAAGTTGTTAAGGTTGTGATAAGACCGCGGAACATTAACTGGTAAGAAAGGCTTCCCATAAGCAGGCGAAGGAGCTCTCTTCTAGGGCCACGCTGATCCAATGCTTCTTCCGATGTCTTCTATGTGAAGCAATAAAACCGTGCCTTCTAGAGTAGCTGACACAAGATGAAACACACCCTTTAAGTCCGGCTTAATGGTGGCTTATAGGTCCTTAATGGTGGTTTAATGGTTGTCTTTAAGTCACCATTAAGTCACCATTAAGCACCTTTAAGTAACATTTACACCACCATTAAGTTACCATTAAGCCAACTCAAAGTCCTTAATGGGTGCTTAAATGTAGCTTAATGGTAGCTTAATGGTGGCTTACAGGTCCTTAATGGTAACTTTTAGACCACCATTAAGTCACCATTAAGCTACCATTAAGCTAGACTTACAGGTGCTTAATGTCCAAACTCCATTAAGCTACCATTAAGCCACCATTAAGCCACCATTAAGTCACATTACGCAGTCGATAATATTGTTTATATGGGTGAAAAATTATTTTTATAGTGATTTGTTATCAATATTATAAATGTAGAGTTCGCTTATATCTTGATTTGGTAAAAATTATGAAAAAGAACGAAACTCAAAATCAAAAAAAAAAAAACAAAAAGAAAACGCCACAGTTCGGGCGCGATCCCATGACCTTATGGTTGCAAGGCGAACGCCTTATCCATTAGGCTATCGCCGCTCTTTGTAATGTAATGAAAATATTAAATATTTAACCTTTATTTCTTTCAAAATTTGTTTGGACTTGTAAAGGTACTAGTATTTTGTTGAACATTTCCAAAAGTCTTGAATTGATTTATTAATCAAAATATAAACAATTTTATTTGTGGATCTTAACGCATTAATATATATTTCTACACTGAGTTCGGCTTTTAGATTGATGTAATGTGATTGAGTTCTTCGCTCTGTTATTCGAAAATTTTCGAAATGTAAGCATTAAATCATGATTGAAAATAAATTAATTATAGATAAAACACAAAAGTCTATCATCGAAAAAGAAAGAGGAAAAAACAGATTCTACTATTATTTTTAATATACTGCGGATATTAACGATTTCTGTGTCAACAATTTAGTGACAATCCTCGCGTAAGAGTTACCTGGTTAATTACGTTTACAAAAACTTTTTTTAGAACATCATATCCAGTTTCAATTCTTTTTGTATCATGATGGGTATCAAAATAATTGACTTTTTACAATGAATCATAATTTTTAATTTGTTATATGCTTGCGTTAAATTTAATTTTTTTAAAAATAATTGATCATTAAAATCTGTCAGTGTACGTTGTGTATGTATATAAGTTTCCTGTTAGTTAACCGGGGACGGGGGACACCTAATTAAGGTCTATTGTCTGACCAGTCGGTTTACTGTACACTGATCATCTATTAATCTTACCCCGTTTCTCAATGTGTATACATCTGGTCGGATGTCATGTTTAGTCTGATCGGCCGTTCCTCTGAAAATCGATTTTGAAATAACAATCATTGAAGACCGACTAGATTTTGACAGATACATGTACTTACCGCTGCATTATTAAAAAAAAATAACGAATTAATTAGAATTATTCATGATGTAAAAGCCATTAAAAAGTTTTTCATGGTGAAAGTCAATCTTTGAAAACTAAACATTTGTATACCAGTAGCCCCCTCCCCCCCCCCCCAAAAAAAAAGGACAGAGATTTTTTTTCATGAGATTATATAGTTATATTCCTGTGATTTCTGTAGCGGAATGTTTCTTTTAACACATGAAATAAAAATACCATTTTGTTTTTAAAAAGTAATATATATTTTGTGTTCATGAATATAGATAATTTTAAGAACAAATTGATTTTTGGTATTGTAAATTTAAGATATTTCACAAGGACTTGCTCACGGTATGTAATAATTATTTATTTTTAAAAATCATATACACTAAAAATAAAAACAACGCATGTAATAATGATTTACAATGTATTTAAAAAAAATAATATACGGTTCTGATACAGGATGTCTTGTTTTATTATCACTGTAAATGATTTTAAGAAAAAATTAGACACTTCGAGCAAGCCCCTGTGGCTATTACCTAACTTTGTTCCCAGTGATCAAGTTTATGCATGTTGACAAAAAACTCGTAGAAATTATGATCGAGACAGAATTATGAGTTGGAATAGATTTTGCGTAAATGATATTAAAATAACTAAAAGTTAGTTCAAAGATTCTATATAAGATGCGTAAAAGTTTAATGAGGGTTGACCATTAAGTCACCATTAAGCTCAGCTTAATGGTGGCTTAATGGTAGCTTAATGAAGTTTGGACATTAAGCACCTGTAAGTTGCAGCTTAATGGTGGCTTAATGGTGGCTTAAAGGAATTAACTTCTTTAAGCCACCATTAAATCACCATTAAGCTACCATTAAGCGATTGCTTAAAGGTGGTCTTTCGTCTTGTGTGAGGTGGATTGGAAATGCATTTCAAATTAAAATTTCAATCCAATGTTTTACCGATCGTCCGCGTCGAATTGTACCCGCCCATTTCATGGTCTATCATAATTGTTTTGTCTGTAACAGATGTAAATGACGTACACATGGTACATGTAAGGTACCTTACATGTACGTCATTTACATCTGTTACAGACAAAACAATTATGATAGACAAGTATTAATTTCAATTTTGATATAGAAATATTTTTTATTATAATAAGAATTTCTGTCAAGTGTTTAACAGTTTAAAGAAACAATAAGAGACACATAATTGATTTCTGTTTGGTGTATGCATGTGTGTTGGGGGGGGGGGGGGGGGGGGGGGGGGGGGGGGGGGGGGGGGTGGGGTGAACGAACATGTAAATGAAAAAGAAAGTATTTCAAAATTTTCAGTGAAGACAAAAATAAAAAAGAATTAGCCATTCTAGAAATAAATATATTCTGTCCTGTGTATGAGTGATCTGTCTCGATCGTCAATTTTTGACACCCCCTTAATCAATGTCTTCTATGAATTTTATATGTCTTCTGAAGGCTAAAAATAAATAATATAAATATGAATTTCAAACAATATATTAAAAATTTTGGGAATAAAAAGTATTTGCCTTCTGGGTGGCTGAAAACCCGTGCCTTCTAGAGTAGCTGAGGGGGATTGAAAATGCATTTCAAATTAGAATTTCAGTCCAATATTTTCTCGGCCGCCCATTTTTTTTCTGTCATTAATTATTTTGTCTGTAAGAGATTGAACTGACGTAAGCTTCATATTTCCAATGTTCAGTGATCTTATGCTTTCTAGTTTTCATTGCAGCTTTACAAAGAGATGATTATTATGTGGCGGGAGAAATGTTAGCGATTTGTCTTGTACACGGTGGACCTTCACCAATATACTTCTTACCAACACTGTTTGATGCTTTGGTACAAATCATTTCGGACAAAATACACGGATGGAATATACAAACAATATTTTTTCCATACTTTATAAACAATTACAGCTATACTTATAGAAAAAAAATATTTTTTATTACGGTCGGCAAGTTTATGATACGCTCTCTGAAATCACCCTTTTGCTACTAATATCCCCAACTATGAAAAAGAAAACTTCCAATATTAACTAAAGTCATAAATATATAATTCCTACAAGTATTTTCACACATTTACAACTCATAGGAAAGTTATGAATGAAATTTATGGAAATAACAAACAGTTTTCAAGCTCAAAGGTCCATTAAACAATACAAATCAGGATTAGAGACAAAAAGGTGTGGGAGCAGGTGACATGAAATAAGTTAGTCTAGTGGATATGTTTTATGATTTTTAAGTGCATTTTAAATCTGAAAATTTAAAACATGCTTAGATTGAGAATTGGTCCAAAAATTCGATGAACTAATTGTTTTAATTAGGTATCAAAAGCGCACACAGGTGTATCGGAAATTGTATGAATGATTAAAATTCACTTTTAAGTAGCATTAAGGCTAGAATATAGTTTCAGAATTTTCAATACTTTGAATGTGAATATGATTTATTCACAGGTCGGTACTAGCTTCAAGAGTGAATATATCATAAAGTATTATTAGTATGATCATCGCATAATATCTAATATTGTAAAGTGGAAAACGTACAGATCAGATGACAAGTAAGTGTATCTGAACATCAAAGCGGAAGTTAAACAGGTGAATATACTTCCTGGATTTTGATTTTTCTCTTGTATATGATTAAATTCCTGTATGTGCTTGAAATTAAATCAATATAACTTTCAACATATATCAGTGCATTGTTATTTCTATGGCGTATAAAAAACTCCACTTCATCATAACGCTTTTTTCATGTTCGAGTGCCATGTACTGCAAAGAAAAGTAAGTCTAACTTTGAGTTATATTATAGGGTGCTTTTGTCGTTAGGAATTGGATCTTTTAGGTATATAAAAAGCAGCAAATAATGTGAACGGGGAAAATGTAATTTTATAAAATTGCCTAAATGTTGAAATAGTTGACAGAAATTGTTTTCTTGACTGTCTCAACCCTTTTACAGAAATGAATTGATTGATCAATAATTTCAAAATTTCAAAAGATTTATTGTAATATCAAATCGCTAATGCATGTATATATTTAAAAATGAAATTTTTCTATGTTGATATTTGTCTTTTGTACTAGTGTTTTTTTTATAGGATAAAATCCTGAAAACTTAATTATTAAATAAAGTCCTTATCTTTATTATGTTTTATATTTTTTGTTAAATAAATTACTTATTTCTGAAATCTTTACATTATATAGAATTAGCTTTAAGGGGAAAGCAAGTGTTTTGTCTTTTTCTGAGTTACCTTCACTGTACTTTTAATGAATGTAATTCTAAAAAGTAAGACATGTTTTTTGAATGTTTCATAAAAAATACTGTAGTCTTAAAAAAAATCTCCGTTGATACCCTAAATTCCTATAAAAAATATTTCCTAATATTGAATGCTTTAGGCAAGTATAAAGGAGGATTTTCTTTTTTTATCTCAAAACTTATTTTTAATATTTTTATTTGTTTCGTTGATTGTACATTTATGAATTAAAAAATATCCGTCTTGGGACTGTAGAGATCTGGGTTACAAATGCTGTGCAAACTACTACTGGAATTTGACAGAAGGAAATTGTACTGGTGAGTAATCAACAAGGAATGTTAAGAATTTTTCCAAATATTTAATAAAAACGTTGACTAATTCGAAAGGAACATTTACATTATGCTGAATAAAATATTGATATTTGGCTTCTTTTTTGTGTTTTGTTTTAGCAAAATGGCGTGCACTTTTGAACTCTTAAATGCGCGGGTATGTTAAGGCAGCACATGGATCAGAATTCGGCGAATTAACATTTTTTTTTATAATAATGTAACACTAATAAATCGGAAAAGTCAAGGATAAAACTTTTGCTTTAATTATGCATTCTATAGATTTCAATGGGACTTATACTACAGGAGGCACTTCTCCACGACGTCACCACGTGACGTCTATAATTAGAAAATATGCCTTAATGAAAAAGTGAAAAGTTTAACACTACCCCGGGGACAATTAGTTTTAATTTGTAATAATAGTTATGTTAATTCATCTCTGTACCATGAAAAGTGCTGCTAGAATCGTACTGTCCTATTATAAAAAAAATTATTCAACAATTTTGGACAAAACCTTTCCAAAATTTTTACATTTTGTTCATAACATTGAAAAAAAAAGCATCAATTCCCGTAAACCATACGATTCTAGCAGCACTTTCCAAAAACAAAAGAATAAGAACTTTAGATAGAAACAAAAATTAAGTTTCAAGGTATGCGGCGTAGTGTTGAACTTTTGCATCTTTTTTGTTACGAACGACAGAGGAAAGGCTGATCGGCAAGTAAACACCCTCCCTGCTATAATTTTGCGAAGAAATGCAAAATTATTTTACCTTACCTTATTCATACGCTTTATTCCCACAAGAATCACACATGATATTCATTCTAAATGCTTTTAAACTCCGATTTCTTGTGTTTGTTTACATTAGTTCTCGTTACGATTCACTTTCACTCTGCTACTACATGATCAACAGTTATGACGTCACGGGTTTGGTATGTAACCCCTGTGATAACTACAGAGGCCCAGGAACGACAAAATATTCCGTTTATATTATGCCTCTGCATATTGTAATTCATTTTTACGACTTCAATTCAATCTGAGATATCGATTTTAAGAAATTATTATCTCTAAACCTCGCGTCATATAGCTTACTATCTTACTATGACGTCATATCATATAGGCAAGTAGAATATTTGGTTGTAACCTTAACCTACCTGCGTGCATGCAATATAATTATTTCTTATCTCTTATCTTTCCCTTTCGCAAAGATATTAAAACTAATTCGTCTAGCTGTGCGTCTGTTAGTCCCTCCGTCCTTCACAAAAACTTTATTCCTGAATGAGAAAAGATAGGGCTTTCATATTTCATATGTACATTACCTTTGTCAGGATATTTCCAAATATACTATGATTTTTTTTATTCTTTATCATTGTGACTTTGACATTTTTTGAAGTTTTTTTTTTTTTTTTGCTTCGACAAGTTAAATTGGTCTAAAAAGTTTTGAAATAAGAAATAGGACTTTTACATTATTCATCTATATTACCTCTGATAAGGCCTTTACTTGTTTTTTACACTTAACTTTGGAGTTTGACCTACTTTTCAAAATTATTATTTTTCCTTGTAACCTCTGATTGAGAAGCTTTTTTATTCAACGTGTGCACAACCTGTCACAAGATGTTTCCGAGCATGCTATTTTTTTACCCCTTGACCTATATATATATAATAGGGCGCTCATGTTTAACATAATATGCGATAAATAATGCCATCTCATCCATTCTTTTAAATAGGACACTGAAGTGCAGAGGACCAGTATATATATTTCTTTGATAGTTTACGAAAAAGTAAATGGCATTCACTTATTATAGTATTCTATTATTTCGAACACTGTACTTAGCTTCTTTCAAAATTTTAAAGTGTCAATTTTTTTTAAAATTGAATTACAATGATATAGCATCATATCAGTATGGTATTTAATGCATACATATGTACATATATGAATAAGTGATATTTCAAACTATATTGTATATGTTATCAAGCGATAACTATATTCAATACAGACATCAATGTAATCAAATCACCTTTTTATCATAGAATGTATGCCAGGAACCTTTGGCCTTAACTGTTCTGATGAATGTACAGCTGGCTATTATGGACTGTGGTGCTTAAGCAAATGCCCCGAATACTGCAAATCATGTAATAAAGTCAACGGAGCTTGTGATGGTATTAAAAAAAATACAAATTTGAAGCCTCCATTTTTAGTAGGAAAACAAAGGACATTTTCCAGACAAGAACAACAGATGGGAACTTTAAAACTAGATTTTTTAAAATAATAAACGCTTCATCATTGTAATTCATTCTGTAGTGTTGACTATGACGTTATTTTCCTTCTCAGAGTTAGAATAATAGGCAACATTTTAGTTTTAAGGATTTGAAATAATTATTCTTGCCTGATCTAGGTCAAAATATAAATAATTTACTTTCAGAAGTAAAAACCATAACCTCAGAAGATCTAACCATGATTTCTTCAAACATAAAGATGGTAACATCACCAACAGTATCACAGCAGTCCATAAGGAACACCAAGACTTTTTCAATCATTGGCATGTTGACATCACCAGCACCATTTAGGCAGTCGCAAAGGGGATCATTGCTATATGTTATCATTTCTATTGGATCATTTGTAGTTCTTGTATTACTTGTGGTTCTAATGAGAAATATCTATACAATAACCACACTTCAACCTAAACAAACAATTCTACTTCAGATTCAGGATCAAGAGTCTGAGGCAGCACAGAACACAGTAAACCCAGCTTTTGATCCTATATATGAAAACCCTAGCTAAGCAAAAACACAGCATTTTTATTTCAACTTTTGTCATTTTTTTTTATATCTAGATAAAAGAGCATAATTATAATATTATGCAGCGAATGCTTGTATTTGATGTTTGACTGAAATAAAATAATTTTACATTTTCGAAATAATGACTTTTAGAAATGTTTTTGATCCCATTCCTGACAAATGTTTCCAATGAATGTTGTTGTAATAAGTATTTTGATGGTTAAAATTGATTTGTGCTAGCATTACATATTTGTTTTTCTTATAGCTGAAATATAAATACTATTTAAAAAAAATTCTTAATATGAATTCATATATATGTATTCGTATCTTCCTCATCCAAAAAAAAAAAAAAAAAAAAAAAAAAAAAAAAAAAAATACAAACACGTGGACCAATTCAACAGATCACCATCAATGCATTCATAACGGAATAAATTCATAATTAAATTTATTTGTCATTGCTACTTTCTTATCTTTATATATCTGAAATGACAATATCCTGTTCCTAAAAACTAAATAAGCTTTTTGTTAGTTTACCTGAGCTGCAAGCTCAATTGAGCATTTCTGATCACATTTTGTCTGTCCGTCCATCCGTCCGTCTTTTTGTAAACCGTTAATAATTATTTTCGACAACTTCTTAAGAACCACTTGTACAATTTAAACTTAACTTGCCACAAAGAATCCTTGAGTCCCAGGGGTAGGACGGGGCCACGATGGACGATTAAATATTTACACGGGAATATATTGGAAAGATCTTTAAGAAGTCATCTTATGAAGATCAACAAAGTGATAACAGGTCATATTTAAATGGAAGCATCCTTAGATAGTGTAAATCAAAGTTGGTTCAATTCGTGCCCCCTGGTGGTAGGGTGAGGCCAAAAGGAAAGTTTAGACTAATGGAAAATAACATAGTAAGTAAAAAAAAAATGTGTCAGCATTCTTAGTTAGTGTAGATTCAAGGTATTTCAAATCACACCTCCTCTTTAGGGATAAGTCAGGACCGCTTTTCAGTACTGAAGTGATTATTTGCTTTTTTTCTAGCTACAAATCTCAGGTGAACGATGTTGCCCATGGGCCTTTGTTTGTATTTTCTCTGCCGTAAGAATATACAAATGGTTTTTCTCATATGACCTCCTAAATGCCAATTGTGACGTCATTAACTTGAGCATTTTCCCGTATTTTCTTAAAAAGTTGCAGAAAACCTCAATTTTCATTGAAATTTTCTTTCAGAAATAACTTTTTTGTTCATTAGTATTTATATTATAAAACAAGAAATTTCATATATAGAAGTTTTGAAAAGTTTATATGTCGAAGCATGGAAATAAAGCTATTGGTAAATCATACACATGGATGGAGCCAGGAGCGGATCCTGCAAATTTGGAAGGGAAAGGGGATTACAATCAGTGCCCTAAACACGCTTCTTTCATGGCCGTTTTTATTCACCACTACATTACCCTTATTTGGCTATACTACAAAAAAGTGACTTATGTCCAAGACGCCATGTAGTTACGATATCAACAGATAACTTTTTGTCCCCTCCTTTCACTGAATGTGGGGGGGGGGGTATTAATTACGGTCTGCCTAGCTGTCTGTCCGTCTGTCTGTTTTTCTGATTGTCTGTAACACTTTCGTTTCCCCGCAATATCTCGAGTACCCTTTGAAGTTTCAGATTGAAATTCTACATAACAGCTCCCTATGACTTAGAAATTAGTCCTACTGATTTTTTTGGTCAAAACGTCAAGGTTCAAAGTCATCAGTTCAAAAATTCTGTCTGATTCAATACTATCATTTTAGAGCATTATCTTAAAAAACCTATAAACTTTTGCATTGACAGTTTAAACAACAACTCACCAATGTCTTAAGGAAGACTATTTATTACATGGGGGGCTCTGACGGTAAGGAAAACTTCTTAAAACCAAAAGTAATCTAATATACACACAATAATAGAGAAATATTATAGCCAGGAACAATATCCATATTGGCATTTTTATTTGCTTCAGTACATACATTTAATAATTTGTAATAATCCAGGAAGAGGGAGAGGTGCTCAACTCTTGGTGAGTACCGTCCCTATTACTGTGTATGTGTGTCTATCTTTAATACTTTGCCTTTTCGAAGATTGTACTTTCCATCGATATCGAATACTGATTGTTAAAATAATAATGCCTTACTAACTTTTATTCTGATATTGTCTTGGTTTTATTCTGATATTGTCTTGGCTTGGGTTAAAGGTTAAGCTTTTTTTTTTTTACTTTTAACCTAAGCCAAGACAATAATTTGTTTATTTCTTAATGCAATACTTGCGGATATGTGCTTTCTGATTAATAAGTTGACCCTTGGAGAAACAAAGACAGATAACTCTAAAATTTTGGTATAACGTGTGCTTTTTGCTACAGAAATCAACGGAAAATATCCTCGTGAAACAAAAAAAAAATCCTTTTACAGGCAACATAATTATAAAAAATCATTTTACAAATTCATAGCAAAACTTTGTGTTTGGACAGAAAATAAATGCTCATTTTTTTCACCAATTTCGAAAGGTTTCACAACTACAGCTATACATTTGAAACAGTGTATTTTTCAATTACGTTTGTTTAATTGTATATGCGAAAAACATAGGAAAAGATTGCAGCAACTTTTATCCATATCCAGGAATATTTTAAAATATTCTTATGCTTTCAAGCCCAATTTCAATGGAAAACATCATCTACTCCCTTATAAAAAGAGCTGGAAATAAGATTAATTAATTTAGGCAAGATGACGTCAATTTCAGAACACAAGTTTTCGTAATATTGGTATTTAGAAATGTCATTTACCTCTAGAAAATGAATAGAAACGTGAAAACATTAACAAAAATAAAATGTTCTCATTTTGTTATGCTGTATTCTGTCATTTTGATTAAACTCTACCACCGATTACGTCATATGTGCACATGAAGTAACTTGGGAATTGATCATGTCTTGTAAAGATAATTTGGCAAAGATGGCAAATACAAAGATACGTAAAATTGAGTTTAAAACAAATATCGTAAATATTTTGTTAAATTCTTGTGGAGTTCAGTTAATTAAACATGTATGCCAATTTATTTTCATGGATTATATTCTCTTTGGAAGACACTCAGCTATATACGTATCCCCGTCGGCCTTTCTTCTGGCATGTGTGACGGACGTACAGACGGAGAGACGGACAAACGAATGAGATTTAATGTCCCCACGATTTCGCAAAAGCTGGGGACAAAAGATGTTGGATCAGATGCGATGGAATTAGTTAGTCAAATGGATATGTTTTCATGATTTTTAAGTGCATTTTAACTTTAAAAATTTAAAACATGCTTAGATAGAGAATTGGTCCAAATATCCGCTGAGCTAATTGTTTTAATTGGATGACCAAAAGCGCACACAGGTGTATCAAAAATAGTATGAATGATTGAAATTCACTTTTATGTACATGTAGAATCAAGGATGGAATGAAGTTTTAGAATTTTGTGGTCTACTTTGAATGTGAAAATGATTATTCATAGGTCGGTACTAGCTTCAAGAGTGAATATATTATAGATTATGATTATCGCATAATGTTTAGTATTGTAAAGTGGAAAACGTGCAGAGCAGATGACAAGTAAGTGGATTTGAACATCAAATCGGAAGATAACAGGTTTATACACTTCCTAAATTTTATTTTTGTCGTATATGATTAAATTCCTATATATGCATGGAATTAGATCAATTGAACTTTCAACATATATCAGTGCTGGGCAAATTCTATGGCGTATACAAAAGTACACTTTATCATAATGCTTTTTTCATGTTCGAGTGCTATGTACTGCAAGGAAAAGTAAGTATAACTGAGTTATCGGATAGGGTGCTTTTGTCGTTAGGAATAGGCCCTTTCGTAGGATATGAATATCAACAGCAAAAAATGTGCGTGGGAAAAAATATAATTTTATAATAAAAGTACCTAAAAATTGAAATTGTGGACAGAATGTTTTTTCTTAACTGTCTCAACCCTTTTGCAGAAATGAATTGATCACTAATTTCAAAATTAAAAAAAAAAAGATTTATTGTAATATCAAATCGCTCATGCATGTATATATTTTAAAATGATATTTTTCTGTGTTGATATTTGTGATCTGTACTGGTATTTATTTATAGAAGACTACGATAAAGTCCTGAAAACTTATCTCTTTTTTGTTAAATAAATTGCATTTCTTCTAAAATCTTTACATTATATGAAATTAGCTTTAATGAGAAAGCCAGTGTTTTGCCTTCCTCTGAGTTACCTTCACGTTACTTTTAATTAATGTAATTTTAAGAAGTAGGACATGCTTTTTGAATGTTTTATGCAGTATACTGTTAAAAAAAAACCTTTGTGGATACTCTAAATTTCCTATAAAAAGTATTTTGAGGGGCAATATGAAAACCATTTGTCCTTCTATGTTCAATAACCCAAAAGTGAAAAAAAGAATTAGATAGATTATATGATCAGTACGTACTTGTCCCTGCAGACAAAGCAGGTAACAACATTGTCTTCATTTGTAAGGCTCATTATATAAAATGTACATTCAAATGAAGCCAAATTTGTGCAAAAGCTCATGCGTGAAAAGAAGAAAACACTTGCTATGACCTTCAACTTGACATTTAAATACCGTATACCGGGTTTTTTTGGAGGGTGTAAAATTTGGCGTTTTGCATGCTCAAATATATGGCAATAATTTTTGCGTAATTTTTTTTCGCACACACAAGGTTTCAGCTCTTTGTAGATGGACACTAAAAAGAACACTGACTATTTTAGCGATTAAAATGTTAACGGACTATTATCAAAAGCCAAAATAAGCCAAAATTAGCACCCCGCTAAAATAAGCCGCTATACGCTATATCGACGACGTATTATCAATTAACAATGTTAATTTCCATTCCTACGTCGAAACGATATATCTTGGTGAGCTTGAGATAAAAGATACCACAGAGTCTAACAAATCTGTTTCATACTTGGATATGTTACTTGAAAAAGACGTTAATGGTAATCTAACAACCAAGCTTTATGATAAACGTGACTTTAACTTTACAACCGTCAACTTCCCTTACTTTTGCAGCAATATACCTTCATTACCTGCATACGGAGTATATATATCTCAGTTGATTCGATACACAAGAGCATGCTCTACGCATGAACAATTTCTAAAACGAGGTAAATTATTGACAGGCAAGTTTGTTGAAACAAGGAAATCATCAGTCTCGTGTAAAGTCATCATTTCGTAAGTTCTGTGGTCGATATAATGACCTTGTTAACAAATACAATTTATTAGTGAGTCAAATGCTGACTGACCTTTTTCATACTGATTGTTAGTCCATTATTTATGCACTGAATTGACGTCGGATTTTTTCGTTATTTTCCGATTATAACAAGGAGCACACGGCGGGTGTGACCAGTCAGCAGGGGATGCTCACTCCTCCATGGCACCTGATCCAACCTCTGATGTTTCGGAGGTCCGTGTTTGTTCTGCTACTATTTTGTATTGTGTAATTGACTTTGAGATTGAATACTGTTCGTTACTCCAAATGTTTATTTTCGAATATTGAATGCATGTGGACCAGTATAAAGGAGAAGTTTTTATCTCGGAACGTATTTAAAAAAAAAAATACTTTTATTTGTTTCGTTAAGTTTACATTTATGACTAAAAAAATTTCCGTCTTGGGACTGTAGAAACCTGGGTTACAAATGCTGTGCAAACTACTACTGGAATTTTACAAAAGGAAACTGTTCTGGTGAGTATCCAACAAGGAATGTTTAGATTTATTCCAAATATGTACCAAAAAAGTTGACTAATTTGAGGAATTTAAAAGGGACATTTCCATTATTCTGAATAAAATATTGATATTTCGCTTCTTTTTCATGATTTTTGTAGCAAAGATCCATGCACTTTTCAACTTTTAAATGCATGCTATATAATCACTTCTTGTCCGTCTGTTAGTCTCTCCGTCCTTCACAATAAATTTAACCTTGAATGAGAATAGATAGGGCTTTCATATTTCATATGTACATTACCTTTGTCAAGATCTTCCTTAATATACTATGATGATACTATGATTTTTGACATTGTGACTTTGAAGTATTTTTTTGCCTCAGACACGTTTTGAAAAGAAAAGATAGGACATTTATATCGTTCATAAACATTACCTTTGATAAGGCCTTTCATTGTGATTTTTTACGCTTAACCTTGGAGTTTGACCTACTTTTAAAAAAATATTATTTTTCCTTGTAACTTTTGATTGAGAAGAGATTTGTCTTTTTTATTTAACATGTTCATTACCTGTCGCAAGATGTTTCCGAGCATGCTGATTTCTTTACCCCTTGACCTATATATACAAGTTGTAATAGGGCGCTCATATTCAAAACATAATGCCATCCAATCCATTTTTTTTAATTAGGACGCGGAAGTGAGGAGAACCAGTATGATATTTTTTTTTATATTTACGAAAAAATAAATAGCATTCACTTATTATAGTATTATAGTATTCACTAATTCCAAACATTGTACGTAGCTCCCTTCAAAATGTTAATGTGTCAATTTTATTTAAATTGAATTACAATGATATAGCACATCAGTATGGTATTAAATGCATAATAATTAATAAGAGATATTTCAAACATTATTATGTACGCTATTAAGCGAAAGCATTATACAATACTGACATTAATGTAATCAAATCGCCTTTTTATCATAGAATGTATGCCAGGAACCTTTGGCCTTAACTGTTCTGATGAATGTACAGCTGGCTATTATGGACTGTGGTGCTTGAGCAAATGCCCCGAATACTGCAAATCATGTAATAAAGTCAACGGAGCTTGCGATGGTATTAATTATAAAAATTTCAGTCCTAATTTTTAGCAGACAAAAGAATGACCTTTTGTAGACAAGAACAAAGGATGGAAACATTAAAATTTTCTTTTTTCTTTAAATGATAAATACTGCATCAGTGTAATTCACTCTGAAATGTTAAGTGTTCTGCAACAGGATTGGAATAAAAACGTCCAGCAGTTTTCATACTTCATTAAACTTGTAGCATGATGAATGACGGTAACAACTGATAATAATTCAATTTTGTTTGTATTCTTGCCTCTCATTGGTTGATTTCCAAAAATGAACGCAAATCTTTTTGTATAATCTAGTTTGATATGGGGACATGCCCCCTTGACGACCACTTAATCATCTTATTAATGTAATCCCATCATATCCAGTGCTGGGAATCTACGGAAAATTCCATATTTAACAAATGTACCTTTATCTTCAAACAGTTACTCGATCTTACCTCATGTAAACAAACATCTTGGCTGCTCGATCTATCTACCAGATATTACCTCCCCTCACTTCTCATCACTTCCATTACTACGGTTGTACTATAAAATTTGAACTCATAAAAAGCTTCGCGGATAATAAAGCGTAAACTGAACGAATCCAGATTATACTCGATAATTTGGCCAAAGATTAGAGTCATTCTTTAATAACAAAACAATATTTTTACTTATAATTTAGAAAATTTAGAATTCACACTCATGCATTCATCTTACAAACATGTCAAAAATCCTAATTTAGTTTTCCAAGAAATAATAGAAATAATTTTTAAACACACAAACAAGATTTACAAATTAAAAAAAAACCACATGATGTACTGCGACCCAGTCGCACGAGAAAAAAAATGTCTACCCCAGATGGCTCAACGAAAACTGGAAGAAAACGGCACAGCATTAATGAAGAACCGAAAACGGCACTGGGAATTTCTGTGGCGTCACATTAAGTTTAACTTTAATTTCTTTCAAACTGTTAGAATAATTAGCAAAATTTTGATTCAAAATAATTTTTCCTCCCTGATCTAGACCAAAATAAATCTAATTTACTTTCAGAAGTAAATACCATAAACTTGGAAGATCTAATTGTGATTTCTGCAAACATAAGAATGGTAACATTACCAATACTATCAAAGCAGTCGAAAAGGAACACCAAGACTTTTTCAATCAATGGAATGTTGACATCACCAGCACCATTTAGGCAGTCGAAAAGGGGGTCATTGCTATATGTTATAATTTCTATTGGATCATCTATAGTTCTTGTACATGTATTACTAGTGGTTCTGATGTAAAATGTCTACACAATAACAACACTTCAACCTAAACAGACAAGTCTACTTCAGATTCAGGATCCAGAGTCCGAGGCAGTACAAAAATGTAGAAAAGCATATCTTCAACAGCAGAAATTTATTACTCTGATTTTATGTATATCTTTAAAACATGTACATGTATATAAGGGGTGTTAAGAAAGTTCGTTCCGGGATGAAATATTTTCAAAAATTTCAAAGTAGTGCTTAACTAAAGAGATGAATTCTCAAGTTTGACAAAATCACAAGAGTGTGCTTTATATTTATAGCAAATCATTTCTAGCAGGAAATTATAGAATTTTCTTCCATATGAAAAAAAAATTATATCTTTAAAGCACCCGAATGATAGAAATGTCGGTCATTTTAAGTGAAAATAAGGGATAATTTACTTCTGTTTCTTCATTGCTTATCTTGCATCAGATAAGCTGATGAGCGTAGATATAAGAACGATATATCACTTTTCAAAAGAATAGGTTTTTCATTTTGAAATATTTCACAGATTTGATAATTTTTGCATAGTATTTGAAAGGATGTGTTGACCTGCGTACTTAATATATGTTACAAATATGCATCATCCATGATTTTTCTGAACACACATCATCTGTTTTAATACCTGCCCTCCCCTTATTGATTCAACAAAAGACAATTAAAACCTTATCAGTAGCAAGAATGGAGTCTGTAAACATAAAATATCACAAATCGTAAATATCTTCTCATCGTATTTCTTTTTCAAAATAAAAGAAAAATGTGGAACCAACTTTCTTAACACTCTTTACGTGTAATTATACAATGTTAAATCTTACTAATGTGACATTATATTACTTTTTATGTCATATAAATATATGTTTAGTATTACTTTTTTATTAGGATTATCATTATTATCATCTGACATTGTCTACATACATGTACATGTATTATAATTCACTTTCTAAGCTGTTAATCTTTGCTAATTTGATGTTATTGTTGTTGTAATTGAAGGTCCTGAGGAAGAATAGTGTGTCACGTTAATCAGGCAAACTTCTCTAAATAAAGCATTATTTTTATTATACATTATTAAACCCGGCTTTTGATCCTATATATGAAAATCCTAGCTAAGCAAAATTTGACTAAAACAGCATTTTTATTTCAACTTTTGTCATTTATATCTATATCTAGATAAAAGAGTATAATTATAATATTATACAGCAAAAGCATGTATTTGATGTTTGTCTGAAATACAACATTCAATAAATAAAATAAGTGCATATTCTCAAAAAATACTTTTACAAATGTTTTTGATTCCATTATGGACAAATGTTTCCACTAAAGTTGTGGTAATAAGTATTTTGGTGGTTAAAATTTATTTGTGCTAGCATTACATATTTTAAAATAGTTTCCTTTGAAATTTGTTTTTATTGTAGTGTTATCATACATTACATCATGTTTCGAGAAGGAAATAAATTAATTATGTGTGATGCACACCTGATATATTTCTAATAATTTAAATACTCATGTGTTTATTTCCAAAATATACTGGTACCGCAAATACGCCCTTTATCACAATAAAAACAGCTGTTATTTAATTGATTTTGGTTTGGAAAAACTGGAACAGGTGCATTTTTTTGTCAACCTTTATAAAATATTTATAATATAATTTGATATCAGTTAAAAAACAACGCAGGTCAGAAAAAAAATGCAGCTGTTCTTCTAAAAAAGCAATTGTTTTGCTATGAGAATGATATAGCTCTTAGTCAAGAGTTGCATTATTATTTAAAGCAATCATTTGTAAATGTTCTTCTAATGAAACATAAGTAAAGGAGTTACACTTGTCGATAAGTTGTAGTATTGCCTTATTTCAAACTAACAAGAATCAACTCCAGATTTTTTTTATAATTCTTTAACATTAATTGAAAGATACATTTCTTAATGTCAGACACAGAAAAAACAACATTTACAACAGAATTTGTACTTTTCTTAAGTATTAAGGATAAAGTATAATTTGTGAAGATGCAAGGATGTGTCAATCAAACACATTTCAAAATTTAAAGGTTCAATAAATTCCAAATAAAATAAGATTTTTAAAACCATTTTTCCATGTGAAATGATATAACAACATATACATGTACGTCATGATATTACATGTATACAGAAAATTTGAGAAAACATCAACTTCAAACCTGTGTCTATGCCCATTCTATTACGTTTCAACCAGTAGAGCAGAACACTTAAAAATACTATCGAATCATAATTACCAGCAGATTAAGAGCTCCTTAAATATTCATTTTGACTACGTATTTATCTATTTATAATATAAAATGAATTATCGACAAAATAACGTCCTCACGAATCAGTTAATGTATGCATGCCGACGAACATTTCTGTCAGCGATGTCAGCAATTTAAAATGACTTTAGCTCTGTACATGTATTTTTACGTAAAAGAAGTGTGAATATTTCGTGTGCAAGAGAGTATTCAAATCAAATTTTATGAGCATATAGTGAAAAATAATATGAATGTAAACGTTTCAAAATTTGAAATTTTAATGTGCAATTTGATGATTATTAAGGAAACATATGTTATCTAGTAAGAAGGGTATCGATGAAAGTAAAAAAAAATAATGTTAACTAAGGAAACACATAGACCCATGAATACGGAAATAAAAGAGATAGATCAAGGTGCTCACGATGAGTAAACATCCCCTGTTGAATATTCGCACCAGCCATTAGCCCAATGTATTTATAAAATAAATAGACTGGAAAATTCGTGGTCAAATTTATTACAAAAGCATTGACCTTACCTTTGTTTGAAATCATTTCGGACAAAATACACGGGAACAATTTAAATCAATATATTTTTCTACTTTTTATAAACAATTACAGCTATATTTATAGAAAAAAAATATTTTGGGGAGTTGAACTATGTTCAGTCTCCCTTGGTCATCACGAATTTAACATGCGCAGTAATTTGTGTTGATTATATAGAGTCGAAAACAAGGCTACTGTATCGACCAATTTACTCCGATTATATTCAACAGAAAACATGCATAAACATCCGCCACAAATAGTTCATGTCACTTTCTCCTGAATTGATCTAATTTTTATAATTTGAAATGTAAGTAAATGTAATGATAAAGTAATCTTATTTTGAATATTAGATTTCGTTCAAAGTAAAACTAAATTATTAGGAACCTCAAAAGTTTTTCGTAATGGATCTCATTTTTAGTGTAGCGTCATCTATAAACACTGAAAAAAAATACGAACGACAACTCTACATACTGACAGCAAGCGGTAAATCTAGTCTTCCCGACGCCCGACTCCCGAAGGTCCCAGATTTTGGATTGTAAGCAATTTCTTTTTTACCGATGCACAGAATTTATTCAAACTTTTCATGATTATTTTCTTTGTTTAAATGAATTCATTAATGCATAAAAACTTGAGGAAACATGCGTATTTATTACTAAATCAGCAGTACCACCTGCCCAAAAAGCTGTAAATCTAGTATTCTGTTATAAATGTTAAAACCAAAAACGGACACGGATGTTTTCGTAGAATCGCGATTAAAAACAACAAAATGAAGTATTTTTGAAAATAAAAGGAAAACCTCATTTATATACCAGATAAATTGTACGCACACAAACTCTCACATATACCACTATTTTTATGTTTGGTCATTTTTATGTTTGGTCATTCTAAAAATATTACCCCGTGGGGATCCGGG